GGGGGGGGGGTTAATTCACTGCTCAGTGTTTAGCTGGAGGTCCTAGGCAGGATGTAAATGGTCTTGGTGTGATGTAATACCTGAAAAATCCAGGAACTAGACTGCCTGCGGCACGATGGGTGAAGATTAGCCCAGGTATCCTAAAACGATGTTATTGGCGCTGTGACATCACGTGAGACTGGAAAACGTGTGAGAATCCACCAATTACGATAAAATTTGGGAATGTCGTTTTAAAAAGCAAAAAATAAAAAAATAAAAAAATAAAATAAAATAATAATAATAAATAAATAAAAATAATACTCAAAATGTGGTAAATTCGCAGTATTGTGCAGTACATGTAGACTAAATTTCGACAGAAGTTACAGAAAACAGACAGATACATAACGGTGCATACAAGTACATTCTGTCAACTTTCACCCATTGCTGCACCCGCTAGTCTGCCATTATTTCTAACCCCACTCTCCTCAAAATCCCGCAAAATCTCGCTTGATTTTAAGCAAATTCTCGAGGCTTTGGTCAACCTCGGATGTTTCCCAGTGACCCCGCCATAACCATTAGCTAACCATAGCACTGTCCGCTTTGCTTAGGGAACAGTTATCTAAAATGGATCTAAATATTGCAGATACGGCAATCTTGTTTCTGCGGCGTGTTGAATGGTATTCCTTGTTAATACAAGGTCATTTCGATCTCGTTAACCAGTCGCTCGTTTCCACGACACGACAAGCACTAGCCATTCAATAAACGACGGTTGTATTTATAACATTAACGTAAATAACTTGGCTACTGCATCATAACAAGCTGGCCACATGGTCTTGACATTTTCTTTGATGCCTATTTTATCGGCAGCCACTCTGATGAGTATGTGTATGAAGCGTCAACTGAAAAGTAAGTATATTGAAACTCACAGAATGTGGCGAAATACGTGTGCGCACGTGGAGATAATGAGAAAAAATCACTTATTTATCTTACTTTTCAGGGTAGAGAATACCCCCTTAATCACCAATCACCAAGATTAAAACAGCTCAATCACCATTCACAAAGATATATTCAGGACAATCACAAATCACCAAGAATTCCTGAATCGTGTTTCACGCAGAATATTGGGCTCAAATAACACATCACGTTCGAAAAATAAAGGCAACCACGCGGTCTACCCTGAAAAGTCACGCGAAACGCAATAGGTATTCCCAGTCCTCACTTTTCTCTCCGTTATTTTTTCATTCAGCCAATAAGTATAACGAATTCAAATGTTTGGTCTAAATTTTAGGCTTGCTATTTGCGAAACATTATTAAGCCCTATTCAAGAATTACAAAGTGCTAACATTCATTATGAATTGCACAGTGCAATACCATTAGTATACGATATGCGAGGCACTTGATGGGGGCGCACTGCTATTAATAATATCATCATATTACTGTCATATTCTGATTTAAGACATAAATGTCATTTGGACGATTTACAGTATTTTTATGAAGATTTTTTACAACTTAGCCAATTATTTTAGATAAAAACTGAACACTTCATTAAAAAGGGAATAGTATGTTCATCAAACAAGAGCGTACAAGTTCAACAAATCAGCTGTATGTTGCGGCTAATTTCTTTTTCAGATTCACTAAGCGCAACAAACAGGTAAATACCGAGCGGTGAGATTATACTTTTACCATGCAGACGAATTAAGGAGCCAATTGCTTCAAATGTAACTACATAACTCCACCAAAAACTGACACACACACACACACACACACACACACACACACGTACCCTCTCTCTCTCTCTCTTTTAATCAAGTCGGTTATATCATGCGTGCAGGACGCAAGACAGACTGAGGGAGCATCCCCCTCCTCCGTCGCTATTTTTTAGATGAACAGACCCCCCCCCTACACACACACACACACACACACACACAATTGAAATGGCTTCCTAAGCGCCTGTATCCAAATGTTTCCATACGTTATGCAGCAAACGCCGCCATTCAGTCCATTTAGTTTTTACATAGACCAAATCACTGCCAGATGACTTGTAACGAAGATACATAAATCATAAAAGCACACCTGTGCTGGAGTAGTACAGGTGAGGTACAGACCAGATGACTGGGACACCAGGTATGTTTCTAGGCCAACTTTAAGCAAATATTAACACAAATGCACATAGGTGAGCATCAACTGGTCCTAGTGGCATCCTTGATATGATCTGGCACTACAAGAAAGTTGAAGAAAAACATGAAAGAACTCGTTTTCCGGCGTAGTAATGATTAGAATCTCTATTACAGCCAAATGATGGGTTTATATGTTAAGCGTTATTTACTGTTTGGACTTTTAGCGGTGGCGAATTTAGGGGATCCTCCACTGCTTAGATAAGCTCTGCTTTATATGGACTTCTTTTTCCTGATTCCGAAACTTGTATAGGAATATTTACTAGATCTAAAGCTGGTCGTGTTCTCTTTGCCACATAATTAAGTACTTTGTTGCCCCGAGAAGTTTTTTTCCTGTGCATTTGGGTTAAATGAAGTCAAAGTAAAGGTGAAATAGTTGCCGTTCTGTTCTATATACTGTGAAATGACATAATGTTTTCATTATCTTTCGTATCATTATAGGCGATGGGACAGACTCTTTTTTCTGGAAAAACTTTCGGATACAGATATCGTTATGGCGGTATGTGATACGGTACACACCACGAATGTAACCAGAAGAGGTCCTTATGAATGGGGGTTATCCCTTTATTTTTTCATCAATAAACAATACTCTCTCTTTCTCTTTCTCTCTCTCTCTCTCTCTCAAGTTACTTCATGTTCCTATACACTTAATTCTAAAGACATCATTACACTGATACTGTAGTCATCAATAACTCTATTTGAATGCTAATCAACTTTCATAAAAATATTCACTTCGTAAATGACAAACATCAAAAATAAGAGAAAGCGACACAGCTGAGGGTGACTGAACGTTACAACGCTGCATTGGGCGTGAATTCGTCTATTTGGAAGCTGATTAAAATAATTATAAACTAATCAATGCATGCATGATAAATATCAGTCATGAAAGAAAGCGACACTTATGAAGATGCACTTTTAACTACCGTTGAAGTCCTACAACTCTCTAATACTCAGCTGATGAAACTGGAAACAGAAATAATAAGACTCCATGAGAATAAGACATTACATAAAGAACATTACCGGCAATTTAAACTTTTTTCTTTAATTATCAAGGTATACCATGTGCACAACCGTTGACAAAATAACGAGCCGTAAATCCGTTTTTGGATTCTAATTTTCCAGTTGCGTGTTACAAAATACTGTGATATCAGGAAACAAGAATAAGGTACTACAAAGTTGTACAGGCAAGTTTATATGTATATATAACGTAGGAGATCGGAAACGTGTGAATGGTGACGTGTGTGTGTGTGTGTGCGCGCGCGCGTGTGAATTTGTGAGTGAGTGTGTGAGTTCATGCGTGTGTATGTGTGTGTATGTGTGTGTGATAATATTATGTGAGTGGGCACAATTTCATTGTTAAATGTGAGAGAAAATTTAAAATAATGAGACCCTACCTGTAGCACTATCTAAATTACCGCTTTTTCGTTATTTAAAACAAAGCAAAGGGGCTAAATTCGGTAAATATAAAATTTTCTTATCCTACGTGCGAAAAGAAAATTTTGCCCACTCTCTTAAGGTTTGTGGAAAGGAGGATCAGTTTCTCTGTGTGATTGTATTCCTGCAGAAGCGTTCTTTTTCACGTGTTGGGCAATCATGATAACAATAGCAACAAAAAGAATATTTCAGCTTGTCAACACGCATTCTCGTAAGTATATCTACCATACCCAACTGACGCTTTTTTACCCTTTATTTGAGCTTGAACTTTTCTCAAAAAACTTTTTCTGTTATATATCAATGTAAACAATTTGAGTACTATCTGAAAACACGTACTGAACACACTATTTCATGCACAGCCACACATGCAAGTACACGTTTTGTCAACTTACCTAAAATCGCGTATAATTCTTCATCATATCATATGGCAAAGGCGCGCAGATATGATATCATAACACAAGACAGCGTCAAAACTTGCGTTGCTTCCTGGCAAACAAAAAGCGAATCCGCGTAACCACAGCATGGTGACGTAGCACTCTTATGACGTCATGCGTTACGAAAAACTTTTACGTCATAGATGACAATTAATTTTCGACCAATCGTGCTAGGCATAAAGTTTCAACTTCGGCACAATTACTTGATATCTGTCTTCATTCATCACTTTATGCGTATATTTATCCAATCACTTATTTTCATAACTTGTATTTCTCTGCTGAAAGCTGACGCTTTTTCCATTTACGCATCTAGCCATCGGTTCTACAAATTATAGGATCAAATTTCTGACGGCACCGCCACTCAGTGATGCATCCACGTTTCATCACGTTCGCTTCACAAAGGTCATAAAAGATTTGCCTACAGATCCGCATTTTATGCACACAAGAGCGATGCCCTCCAACATAATTTATTTGCTAGTAGAAAATGAGTAAGGGTCCTTTTAGATAATTCTTTACAATACAGTTGTGCTGCGGCAACGGTGCCCCGACACGACCGAGTGTGTTAGCGAAGAAAGCGTGGCTGTACACGTACAATTGCGATGACTGGGAAGTTGGTTTCAACTTCTTAAAATGTTTGTCAAATCTAGCTACGTCTTAATGCTAAATTAATGCAAACTTAAAATCCAAATGTTCAGAACTTGAGAGAGAGAGAGAGAGAGAGAGAGAGAGAGAGCGTAATAAATCAATGATTAATCATTTTATTTGTACGTTAGACCCCAAACTCTCAATATAATAAGATTAATGATTTTATTTGTACGTTAGACCCCAAACTCTCAATATAATAACTTGGTAAGTTATAAAAAGATGGTCAATTTAACAATTAGCAACTAAATACTAATATACTAAGAAAACGAATCACTTGAATATGTACTTGATCACAAATCTCAAACTTACACTGGGAGTAACTGTGGACAGGTGCTGCTTCATCACAAAAAAGCTTCAATCTGCCCCCTTATATTACCTTCATTATACCTTGTCATTTCTTAATATTTTCCAGCCATTCATGGGACAGTGTACTATTCCTCATGAAAAAATCTTAATTTTTCTAAATTTTTCATTTTAATGATGGCAGCCAATTCAAGACTGCTGTACAAAGGCAGAGTTGCTACATAAAACTCCCTATGTGCATTTTCTAACTCACACTGGTCTACTACTTTCTACTCTAAAATCCCATTGTTTACTGTTGTGAGTCTCTCCACTTGCTGGGGAAATCTTCAACAGCATTTCTATACACTTTTGTACTCTAGTGACGAAAATGCTGGGTACACTTCACATAAATGCTTCTGTTATTGCTTCATGAATCACTTAGAGGAAGGGAAAAAGATCAAAGATTGTTCTTCACATCAATAATACACTCATACCAGATCACAAAATTTAACTTTCTGGTATCTTAAACGCCCATTCTGATGCAGATTGTCAATATTACAAACAGAAATCTCTAAACAGTTAACGGCACTGAATTTTGGACCACTGGGTTAAAAGCAGTCATGTTATAAGGCCATAGCAAACCAGCCTGCTATAAGTAACAGTCCTCCATATGGCGTTACCTTTCTCACCGTGTCGTGTCCGGTGAGAGAGTAGTAATAACAACTTCCTGAGAATAGAAGCATACCGGAGCAGAGTAGAGACCCCACCTGGAAAACGGGTTAAAAAAGATAGTGTTAGCAAAAAAGTAAAGTCTGAATCAAGTATGATTACTGATTTTGTATTTTTTTCTGTGTAATTTTTATATTTTACTAAAATTTCATTTTTTAACAATTAAATATAAAAAAAAATTTACATGTTAGCTGAAATCTATCCGTCTTTCTTTTTTATCATGTCTTAATTCTAGATGGGGGGGAGGGGTAATACCCGATTTGACTAAATTGCATTCAGCAAGGATCCCTGCATAGTTGGGCAGACTAAGACTAGTTTCGATTGGGAATTGGCCTTAAGTGTATTCAACCCACCAGAAAAGGTCTTCTTGTGAGGGGTGTTCCCAAAAGTGCGAGGCTGTGAATCAAGTGATATTTATTGGCTGTCTCATAAACCTGTGATAAAAAGATCATGGATTTCATAAAAGTATACATATAAGTGTGTTCTATAATTGTATAATTTTTTTCCTGTTTTTTTCTCTTTATGCTTATTTTCCACAAACAGAAAGAAATAAAAGAAACATACAATGTACAAAAAAAAAATTACAAGACTGAATCAAGTACAATCATAACTTTGACCTGCACACTTGATATAAAGTTTAACTCAATTTTTCTCCTTTAGCACAAAATTACTTACACTTCTCTTATCAGGGTCAGCATTTCTCAATCCTGAAACGATTATAAACTTAATGAGGTAAGGGCATACATTATTCTTTGTTAAAATCAACAGCAAACATATATATATATATATATATATATATATATATATATATATATATATATATATGTATATATATAACCCAATTTTATCCCAATAGCAAAGTCACAGTGTCCTCATGTTATTGGCATGGCTTACATTTGTTTTTCAACTCTAGATACTAGTCTAGACTAGACCAACATTTAACAGCTTCAAGATCAGAGAGCCAACATTGTTGTTGACCTTGTACAGTACCCGACACAGACTGCTAAAACATGGTGTTCTCAAATATTGTTTTTTTTTCTCAAACAAGACACCCACTCATTTCTCATTAAGTATGCTCAAAAACTCTCAGATTTCAAATGTTTCTTTTCTTATATATCACTTGTTTCAACATTTTTCAGAACTACTACTCACAAAAAAATAAATAAATAAATAAATAAATAAATAAATAAATAAATAAATAAATAAACAATAAAAAATAATAACTCTTGGCATGAACTGTATTACTTTCAGAACTTTATTTTGGGAAATGTAAATGATCAAATCTGTTCAAATTTAGTTAGTAAATCATGTCTCATGTACTTTACCATGTGCTCCATATGCTCCCATGCATACTGCGAGTGCGCCAGACAGCCCCGCCACGCGCACAAATATAGACCCAGTCCTCATGTGTTCTTCTATTAGCTTTACAAGGTCGTCTTTCTCTAGTGCTGGAAGGAAAATATCAAAGTTATCACATGTGAGTTTCTGAAATGTTTGTCAAATCTCTACAATGTTTGTAGAAGAAAAGACAGACACAAAAATTAACATAAATTAACAAATAAATTACAATTATAAAACAACACCTATACTAAATTAATTAACAAAAAAAAAAAAGCAAACCTTTTTATTTCAGTGCTCTAAAATTAAGCAACACTTGAAACAGTCAAATATTGTTTTGCATTTGAATGTTACAAGAAACATGCCTTAACTTAATTATTACTTTTTAAGTTACAATCATCTCTGAATGCACCTCAGATGCAGCCAACTCACCCTTCACTGAGTCTGGGACCTTTTCAACTGACAAAGTTTCTCCAATAAGTTTTAAAACGCTTTCAGCTGATTTGGTGATTACATCCATTATTTCTTTTGCAGCATCAGTGTAATTTGGGTTTGGACTGAAAGTATAACAAATTCATAACATTTCATGATATTTAATGAAAATAGAAAATGGCAAAAACATGTTGATTCCTTGTCACTTAATGGGTGATATATTCAGAAGAAATTGGTTTGTCAACTCGGCCTATTTGGTTTGAAAAAGCTTGACATTTTTTAGAGTAATTGTTATTATTATATTTGAGACATAAGGATCGGGGGTCTCCAGATCTTTTTAAGACAAGATTCATTGATGGGCATGCAAACTACGTACATAAGTCTGGTATAATACATTTTCACTTTCACTTGCTTTAGTGTGAGAAAACGTGGACTTACATGTATATACATATCTAGATGTTAGTGTTATAGGCTGTAAATGAATTACGAATATTCTACAATGTACAGAAGTTCTTACCGTTAGATAAAACAATGACTCCCCTTTGCTTTCGTGACAATTAGGTTAGAACCAGAATTAACAGATTTACTCTGAACTAATTAATTATATAAACTACAGCATCTAGACTGAGGGGGAGGGGGTCGAGCTTGCTCATTTTATGCGACGGCCGTTGATAAGCTACAAGAGCCCAAATACAACACTGTTCTTCTGAACTTTCAAAACAGTCGTCTTGTAAAAATGAAACTTGACGATGACTACGAAAACATACACATGTTTGCCCGAGTAACAGCACACGTAGCCTTACCTATGTCGCCATCTTGGAATGCGACAGGTGAGCCGGTTGTGACGCACCGCAATACAACACAATTATTTCATAAGCACGGTACAGTAGACTATACATTTTCATAGACGATTTGGGGGTAGGAAAGGTTGACGAAACCTAGATTTTGGCACGAGTTATACGCTACTGTTTGCTGTTTCTTAGATATTCAGGGTAATTTTGAGCATGGACTACGTCAAAGGTGTTGAAATAGGCTATACACCTGACGCGGGGTAGACCTACAGGTAAGGTCTATAGGCCTAATAACAGGCATGTAGGCCCTATAGGCCCTATACTTAACATCAAAGCAATGGGAAATCTGAATGGTGAGGAAAATACACTTACGACTGCACCACAATTACTTCCATCGTGTCTGTGGGTGGCCTCCAGCACTGTGCTGAGTAACCGTGGTCCCAGCGTGGAGGACAGTGGGAGTGCCAGTGGGACGTATGGTGTCCCCAGCCCCCGCTACCGTGGCCCATAGTAGGCCTACTAGAAATCTCTGTCAAAGTTTGACTGTTTTTGTTATTTTTCTCTTCCTGGGGAACGCTGATCGCGACAGATGTAGTTTTTATTTCACTGAGCTATGGTTTTCAGTTGCCGTCTTTTTCACCACAAAATAGGCCTAAAATATCTTGATTCCGTACACCCTGCCTATTGAGGGGGTATAGTTATTAATGCCAAATTTCCTTTGTCTTCGACGTACTTGCATGCAGTTGTTGAATTCTTCTCTCACTTTTACACGTTATCCACCAAGAACTCCTTCCTGAGGTGATGATAAAAGTGCTCACAATTTCGTATGGTTTTGAAAATCCTAATTTCTTACTAATAAATGTATGGGCTTACCCGATGTTTAATAGGCGACGAGCGTAGCGTTAACACTGGTAGTAGAATACCAATCTTATCCCTATTTAGTCTGAATCCTTTGGAACAGTAGCGTTCGAATACAAGGGACATGTGTCGTTTCTCATAAAGTTGATCAAATGACGAAGCGAAGCGGTGAATCTCAATACAAAAAGGGAGTTTGATGCAACGTCTCCTTTGAATTGCTGACATTGCGTCAGAGAAGCAATGAGTCACTCGGAAGCAATGACGATCTCAACCGGTCAAATTGCATCAGAAATGTACACAACGTTTGCCGATGAGCAAGAGATGTGTCAATATTTAGATTCTGGGCTTGTGTTACACATAGACTGAAGAAATTTCAATGCAACAGTCCTTCTTAACCAGTTAATAAATCGTGATTAGTTGAAAGTCATTTTAAACAGTTTTAGCAGAAAGACATTATTTAAAATGATTTTTAACCTGAGTCAATTGCAATACTTATTTGAATTACTTATACTATTTTAATACCAATTTAAAATTAATTTTATTCAGCGATCATTGTTAGATCACCTATGCAAAAAGAAAATTTTGATAACATTTTGGATACCCCTTCTAAAAGCAAAATGCAAACTTTACCGTTCCCAGTTATTTAAAACGGTGTATCCACAAGCGCTCTCCAGATTTTAAAAGACCCAGGGCAGCCTGCGATTTCATTCTCTCTGCAGAGACTCTAGTTCATTTTCGAAAAAAATAAAAACATTAAAAGCATATATTTCAGAAGGGAATTGAAAATTCTGACTCATACATCCGTCTCATTATATCATGATATCTTGCATAAATTCTATGTCAGTGGAGAATTAGACCATTGTTATATCAAAATTTCAGCTTATCTATTGATAGGCCTATATCTTTGTAAGACGTTCCACTTAAGCCGTTGTAAACAAGTGTAAGCAATTATCATAAATATATATGCACAACATACGATGCTACTAAATCATTTCTCTCCCTCTAAAATAGAAAAACCGCCTTCTCCCCCTTTAACACGTGCGAGAAAAAATTATTCGCAGCTCGGATAACTGAATGAAAGAGATAGGGTGAAAAGGGCGCATTTGGTGTTCGTAAGTCTAAATGTCGCCCCACCCTCTAAATAAACCCGCCAGCTGCATCCGAGTTAGAACGGACAAGGGGCATCACAAATATAAAATATTTATACAAAGGGCCGGCTGTGTTTGTAGACCTTTAACGAAAATAGTTCAGCACGATGATTTTGGTTTAGGCTAAAGACAAATGTTCCAGTCACATAGGTATATTCAAGTACAGACCGTGTTTCCATGAACGAGACGGGACGGGGGAGGGGGGGGGGATACCCCTAAGCTTACTTGCTTCCCTGAAATCAGTCTTTAAAAAAATCTTTAAAATTCGAAAGTGGTGTCTATTTCAAGATAAATGAATAAATAATAATAATAATAAAAAAGAAATATAAATGTACATAGAATGAAATAAACTGAAATGATTAACAAAAAAAAAAAAAAAAAAAAAAAACGAGTAAAGGGTATATTGGGTCTCAAACTCTAAAAATCAAATTAGTGATAAAAACCACACACGCACACACATGCACGCACGCACGCGCTCACACACGCACACAGCACCTTCAGATATAAACACAATAAATACGGATATCGCGGGATCAGTAAATCCAGTATGCTTCCTCACGCAAGGCGAGAAATTAGGACTGCCTCCACCCACGATACGAAAGATTTAGCGATAAACTTTAGGACGTTTAATATTCTATTCAACACCCTGGTTTTAAGAGTTCATTTCTGTATAATATCAGGAAATGCCTGACTTTTCCAGTAGCACCCTGGGTTTCTTCAATAACAGCGTGTTTCTGACGTGATCATTATATCAAATTGAATCTATATAGATCAGCTAATAAAATATCTTATTGAATATATTTCACAAATGTATCTATATGGATGCCAGTTAGACCCCATTTCCAGAGATTAGATCGATCTACTTTAGATCGACCTAACTCCCTGGGGGTTCACGCTAAATAGCTGTCAGCCGGGCGAACACGAAAGTTAATTACCCCCTTACAGCTTGTAGTAGGCGGGACGGACATTTAAGCCGGATTATCTGACAGTAATCTAGTGAAACTCCCCGTGGGGATAGATCGATCTAAAAGCTCTGGGAATACAGCCTTAGACTCAATTTGATTCATTAAACACAGTGATTATAATAAATCTTAACGTCTTAGGCATGCTGATGGTGTGGAGATGGTCTTCCATTGACCTCTAAGACTCAGTAAGACACTCACCTATGGCCGATTGATTGCAATCAACAATGTCTTGCAGTCACGCCCACTATCGTACAATCCGTTGTGTTGAGGACAATAATACAATTCGTTGTTTATGTCTAAGAATAAGTTTATTTGCAGGGGTAAACAGTTATTACATTGCAGAAGCTGGTGATAAGATTGAAAATGTATTGAGAAATGCTGTAGTGCATTGTATTGTATTGTATTGTATTGTATTGTATTGTATTGTATTGTATTGTATTGTATTGTATTGTAATTAATTAAGATCCCTAGAACGTATCAATTTAGTCATCGGGTAACGTGTTTTTGATCCATTCCTGTTCGAAATTAGCTTTCGTGTAAACAGTCCACAGTCCTGAAAATTCCCGTGCCGTTCCCCGAGAAATAATCCTGTTCGTCGGTTTATTGATTAAAGTCACGAACGCTGTCGCTAGGGATGGTATCACGGCGATAATTTACTTTGATAAAGAGGGAGCTAATAGGCGTCGAGGAAATTAAAGAGAAGGGTTATTGGCATTTCTGCCACTGTTACACGAGCATTTATTGCTGACTCTTGTCTGTCTGTGCGACGAAATGAAAATATGATAATGAAGTGAGTAGGCCTATATGTGTGTGTGTGTGTGTGTGTGTGTGTATGTATGTATGTGTGTGTGTGTGTGCGTGCATGTATGTGTGTATTTGTGTGTGTGTATGAGAGAGAGAGAGAGAGAGAGAGAGAGAGATTTACGTTGTTTCCCGTATCAATGATTCACGTTCTTTCAGTTCTTTTTCTCGTCAAAGGCCTATTTAATTGTTGGCACCTTTAGTGAAATGCCCCGTTTTCCTATAGCGGCGAACATCAATGGATTTAGTATTCATATTTCACAAAATTGCCGTTGGCCGTGATATCCTCGCAAAAAACGCCCAGCTCGAATTACCCAACCTCCTGCTTGATAAATGAGGAAATAAAAAAACTCCACGCATTTACACCTGTCCATGAATACAGAAGCAACTCATTTTTATTTGTATACAGGGCGGTGTCCGTATTAACGCTTGATCTACCGTGATAGAATTAAAGTGCTCTTTAACAAATGACTTCGTGATTATCATATCAACAGACCTAACACTGGGAGCTAAGTTAATTGAAGCGGCTATAGAAAACACACAAACCGTGCAAAAGACCCTAGTGCTTAGGTGGGCGGGGCATGACGTTTTCTTTGTCTGCATTGTGTGTAGGTAACTTTGATGATTAAACACCCCCCCCCCCCCCATTCTCCTCCCCTACTAAAGATCTCCGTGGGTTTCTGGAAATGGAACTTGCACATGCAGTGCACAGCTAATGTGATAGCTTTTGGTTGTTGTCTGATACGTTTATGAGCCCGTATATCTCTTGGAAGTAAACAGGTTAGAGAATTTCAAAACTACTCGTAGAAAAATGCTCGTAAACATCCTGTTGACATTCAATACGTACTAGTATTGACGTTGTTTTTATGCATACCTTCTGTCTACTACAAAAAATTAGATGTGCGATAAATGGTTATTTAGAAGACGAAGAAATTAGCGAAGAAGAAGAAGAAAACTAAGAGAGGAGGGGGGAGGAGAGAAAGAGAGAGGAAGAGGGGGAATAATTCTGGATAGTAATGATGAAGAATGAAGGCATGAATGTATAAATGAATGGATGAATAAATGAATGGATTAATGAATGAATGAAAATAATGAAAAAGAAGACGAAGTAGAAAAAAGATTCAGGAAAAATTAATGTATCGCATCAAGTAATTGAAAAAAATCGAAGGTGTCCATGACCGAATGAAAAACCACTGTTGGGTCAGACTGAACTGATAAGTTGCTGAACGAAATCAGCCTATACCCTTTTTTTTTTTTTTGATGGTTTTAAGCACATCACTTTTCTCATAGAGGGAAAATCCATTTGGTATATTGATTTAGAAAATGTGAGATTTGAACTGACCCATGGAAAATCCTTTTGGCTGTTTTTATTATCCATCCCCCCCCCCAAAAAAAAAATAAAAAATAAATAAATAAA